GTGGTCAGACTGGGACCACTACTCTCACAGGGGTGGTCAGACTGGGACCACTACTCTCACAGGGGTGGTCAGACTGGGACCACTACTCTCACAGGGGTGGCCAGGAACATTACATCATTTTTTACCTGAAAGTTTTCTGCAGATCTTTGTGTTTTGGTCATTTCTTTATGACCTCATACAGGCAGTGACTGCCTCATAAACATGGTGTCAGAACCATTTTAAAAGTGGGGGGACGCTGTTGGGGGGGCTGGGGTTCCTCCCCCAGAAAATTTTGAATGAAATAGATGCCATTTCCTGCATTCTGGAGTACTTTACCAAGTTATTAAACATACTCTTACCTACAAAAATAAACACTTGATTTAATAATTATTTCAGGGACAAATTATTCATTAAACTGGTTCCATCATCCTGTTTTTAAACTCACTGCTTCAGCTGAGATAAGGTTAATTAATGTGACACAATTTATCAATGAATTTAGGGGTGCTTTTTAATTTTGTATTGTTTATTGATTTATTTTTAATAGTAACACATGTCATTGTGCCAAATAATGATGACCCTCAGCTGCATGTTTAAAACTAATATTAATAATTTTACCTAAAGAACAGGTGCAATATTGATAACCACCAACAGTGAGTTTAGAGGGGCATTTCACTTTTTCTGATTTAGTCATAAGTCTACTCATAACCAAAAGGGACAGAGCATCATGCAGCCTTCAGAACAGAAAATGACACTGTGTTATGATGAAAAAAATCTAAAACATTTGTCACAATAAGTCAGATAACATAAAGAAAACAATCACATTTTGTCACTTCTTTGAGCTTGATCATGTTTCAAACTATTAAACACTGCCACCAACTGTTCAGGAGGGTTATTGCACCCCTACAGGTAGTTTCACTATGGAAGGGGTGTGTACTACAGGGTGGCCAAAGATTTGTCTGTGGTGGCCCTGGCCACCCCTGGCCACCCCCTGGCTCTGCCCCTGCCTTGAGAACCATGTGTGGGAAACACTGATCTAAGAAAACACAGTTGTGGCAGTGTGATGGATCAGTGGTTAGCACTGATGCCTCACAACAAGAAGGTCCCGGGTTTGATCCCAAGTTTGGACCTGGGAACTTTCTGTGCTTGCACGGGTTTTCTCCGGGTCCTTACAAACCAAAAACATGCACAATACACTGCCTTCAGGTCTGATTAAAGACACTGGTGCCATTTGTTTCACCTTGGGGAAGTTGTTGCGGTGGCCCAGGCTGAACTCTGAGATGTCGATGGCGACAGGATAAACGATGGAGAAGCTGCAGTTCCTGTGCTGCTGTGGGCTCACCATGGTGTAACTGCCCTCTGCTGACTGCGACAGGACGTTGCAGGCTGCAGGGGACAGAAGGAAAATAAGGAAAGCAAAATAAACTCTCATCTCTAAAAAACACACCCAAGATTCAAACACAAACTGTCTCTTTTAAGGCTTAGTGTCTTTATTTTATAGTTTCCATGTTTGATTTGTACCAGTTAAAGAAAAGTTCAGAAAATTAGTTTGTACATTTTTTTGGATTCCAACTGCTTCAGCAAAGAATCAGGTCATTACAGCTTAGATTTTCATATTTGTAACATTTATACTTTTTTTCTTGAATTTTATTTACTATGTTTTTCCTCATAGAAATGAACCAAGATCTTTACAAAACCCTAAAAACACAGTGCTCTTTGAAATCTACTTCAGAAAAGAAATTTTAAATATTAGCTTTTAACCAGTGTTATTCACGTTTTAACTTTAAACATTTTACTTTGAGCTCATATTCTGCTGGTTTCAACTTTTAGCTTTTTGTGCCAATCATTGAAGCTATCAGCGACTGCAAACGTTTTAGTTTTAAGCTTCTGTTTTTTCGGGTATAACTTTTAGCTTATGGTTCCTGATTTTGTCCTCCATCTATATGGAGGTAAATTTGTGTTTTTATTATTCAATCAAACAAAAAGCATCTTCAATTAAAAAAATAATTT